TCCTCTGTACTCTCCCTCCTGCCCATTCTTGATACATCCCACAATTGCAGAGTCATCTGAGAACTTCTGCAGGTGGCATGACTTTGAGTTGTATTTAATGTCCGAGGTATAGAAGGTGAAGAGGAAAGGAGAAAGACCCGTCCCCTGAGGAGCTCCTGTGTTACTTACTACCTGTTCAGACACACAGTTCTGAAGTCTCACAGACTGTGCTCTGCCTATCAGGTAGTCAGTGATCCACGAGATCATGGAGGCATTGACTTACATTTCCTCCAGCTTCCTCCTTAGAGGTAGGGCTGGATAGTATTGAAGGCACTGGAGAAGTCGAAAAACATAATCCTTACGGTGTTGCCAGCCTTGTCCAGGTGTGAGTAGGCCCTTTGCAGCATGTAGATGATTGCATCCTCCACACCAACACTGGGCTGGTAGGCAAACTGTAGGGTGTCCAGTGATGAGCTAACCAGGGGTCAGGTGGGATAAGACCAGCCTCTCCAGTGTCTTCATGACGTAAGAAGTCAGTGCAACTGGTCTGTAGTCATTGAGGACAGAGGGGGGCCCTTTCTTTGGTACTGGGACCAGGCATGATGTCTTCCAGAGCACAGGGACTTTCTCCAAACGCAGGCTCAGGTTGAACAATCGCTGGAGCACTCAGCTCAGCTGATCAGCACAAGCCCTCAGAACTCTGGGACAGACGTCATCTGGTCCTGTGGCCTTACCCTGGTGCAGCCTCTTCACCTCCCTCTTCACCTGGTCAGCCTGGCCTGGGGAATGGTGCTCATAGCGCTGTCAGTGCTGCAGGTGTTAATGGCGGACGTGTTGGAGAGTGGCAGCTGTGGGGATGGGGGGGTGAGTAGCTGTTGGGGGTTGTACCCGTAGGCGGCCATGATTGTGGGGGGATGGAGGAGGTGTTGGGCAGGTGTTTTCTCTGGTCGGGCACTTAACAAACTGGTGGAAAGTAGGTAAAGTGGTGGAAATAGAGACGTGGTTAAAGTCCCCTGAAATAGCTATAAAAGCGCTAGGGTGCTTTGTTTGTAGCCTGGCTGTGACTGTGTGTATGACGTCACACACTGCCTCTGCATTTGCCATGGGTGGAATGTAAACAACAACAAAGATGGCACATTTAAACTCCCGCGGCAGATAGTATGGACACAGTCCTATGGCACCCAGTTCAATGTCCGGGTTACAGACGCGCTCCTTAACATGAATATGTTCAGGACTACACCATCTGTTGTTGACGAGCACCACTTTCCTCTTGAAAGGATCGATGGTAACATTCGAGTCTGGAATAAGTTCCTGCAGCCACGTCTCGGTGAAACACATTATACTGCATTCTCTATACTCCCTCTGACTCCTCACCAATGCTCCCAGTTCGTCCATCTTGTTCACTAAGGACCTCACATTTCCCATAATGATCAAAGGAAGATAGGGTTTAAAAATCCTTCTCTACGCTTTTCGTGTCGCACCAGCCCTACAGCCTCGGCTTCTCCTCCTCAGCTCTTCCGGAACTGATGGCTTCTCTCCAGTGAGGAGAGCCGGACGCGTTAGCGCTATCAGCTGGTCATGTGTGTAGACAATGCCTCTGAAGCTATCGGCATTGCAACCCGATAGAAACCGATGTCCGAGTATCAGAAAAAAACAAGAAAAAGTATCTCAGCTTTCTAGTATCCATCATGTTGTGATCGCAAATCTAGTTGCTGGCAAGGGTATGAAGAAAAAACACTTACAAATTTGCATTAACTAACTGAAAGAAACAAAAAGACAACAAAAAGACACAGAGCTCCTGTAGCAGGCTGCCACTTACATGGCGCCATCAAATGTAGAGATGAAACTCAACTTTGAGGTTCTCTTTGATTTTGATAATGCACAGACATTATTTTAAAGTGTAGCATTGAAAAGACAGTAGATCAGGCGAGGACACTTCATGGAAGTCCTTTGAGAGTCCATTTATCTGTAGTCCCATTGCCAGTACTGGTTGTGTTATGTGCACCACCTCAGCAAAGGCCAACTTTGTGTGTCCTCTTAACCCTAAGATTTGCCTTTGGGAGATTATAGAAAACTGGAGCACTCAGAGGAAACTGTCATTAACTCCTCATAGACAGGCACCTAGGGCTTCAAAGCTGCACAGCTACATCATTAACCCCACCACTGAAATTAATTTAATTGGTCTGTAGAGTTGCAGATGTGTAGCACTGCCTGCATGAGATCTGGTATTCTACCTGGGCTCTTTGCTACTGCTAGCTCTCCAGGATTCATTAAATTTAAAGAGATTTCAATTAATTTCATTAATAAATTGGTGTAATGTATTGAGGCAAAGATAGTTTAAGCGAACTCTTGCTACACTATAGATGCACAAATTCACCACTAAGTAAACTATACCACAAAATTGGAGCTGTATGAGTTGTCCAGTGCTGCTTCATTCTAATATCCCTCTCTGCAGGAGGGCTCTGCACGATCCCTAAACTGCCCTAGAAGAGTGGGCTGACGACTCAGGCCAGACCCAGACGCTCTGATATACAGGGTGCTGACAGGGAACCTTCATCTGACCCCCCTCTCTTCTGCTCTCCTTCCTGAGCTGAACTAGCAGCTGACAGGGCTTGAAATAACTGCACAGCACTGTGTGGGGGTGGGAGACCTGGGGACTTGTATCTGTGTTGCTCACAGACAGACAAAGCATCCAGATGGAGCTGATGTTAGCTGGAGAAGCCTGATTTTATTAATCTGTCAGTTTTCAGGATAGATTTATTGATGTTTTAAAAGTTTAACCCTTGCATATTTTTGACAATTGACAACCCAGAGTATAATGCATGATCTGAAGTTAAGGAGTATACCTGTTTCCTGGATTGTTTTTTGGTTTTGTTTTATTTTCTTAGTGTATCCTCTTGATACCTTCATAGTTGTCAGATGTGTTAACATGGTTCAAACTGAAGGTTTACAGTTATCTATTTCTTTAATGGTGTTCCTGAGCTCTGAAATGGTATAGTAAAACTTAATTTCTTACACACATTTCTGAATTGACAGGGGGATATCGGTTACATGTTGGATGTGTTCCCAACAGTGAAGCCTATTCAGCTAGAAGTACAGATGTATAATCCCCAGCTGAATTTGAATCACAACATACCAAGTATCATCCTGGCAATTGGGTTGAATATTATTTGTGACACTTTTAGAACTAGACTGCAGGATAAAGAGTTAGCTGGGAAGAGTTGTCAGCCCATATATGGCCAAATAAACAGAAGTCTTCCTTCTTTCCTGAATCACCTTTCTTCAACTAGAGATGGATAGATGGTTTTAGGAAACAGTCCTTTAACGATAAACTTCAAACTCCTGATCTGAGAGGAGCCGTTGATGCTCCCCTATAGTTTTTTTTGTCACTTTGAGTTTCTGTTCTCATTATTTACCTGCAAAGCATTGCAGAGGTAAAACTTTCCACATGGTGCTGTGATTACTGTATGTGCAGGTCTTGTAGAATAGTAGAGTGATTGTCATCCAGTGCTTGGAACCCCATCAGATTTTTCAGAGACTATTTCTTCAGGGTATTTCTTCAGGGTGAAGTAGATTGGCAAGACTGATGAATTAGAAAAGATATGCTGTGTCTGTCTACTTTTTGACTCACCAGTCTTACTCAATGGGTCTTACTCACCACATGAGTCAATGCTGACTTGTTACAATAGTAATTCTATGTATTAATTGTGGGCCTTCTGAACTGTTTGTGTAAAGGCAGTTCTATCTTAGAGGGATGCTGAGAACATAGTTCACTACTACAGTTTACATTGTAGAAATGGTAATTTCATATTTAAAAAGATTTTCAAGACTGGGTAGACAATGTTTAATGCAGATATGTGCAGGGTTATGCATTCAGGTAACAAAAATATAAACTATAAATACAAAATAGAAAACGCTGAGATAGAAGTGGCTGCTTATGTAGAAGGTTGGGAAGCTTTTTAAGGTTTTTAGGTTTAGAAATAATTTACATAATCTAGACAGTGTGGCCAAGCAAGAAAAAAAGCTCAACAAAAGCACACTGCTATGCTATCATTTAAATTATTGGGTATAATTGTGGTTATTAAGGTATAGGTAAAATGTCATTGCTCTGGAATCGATCCAGAGAAGAGCAACCAGATACCTTCTTGTACTAAAGGGAATGCCCTATACCGAGAGGCTAAATGTTTTTCATCTTAAACTAAAAGACTAAGAAGGGACCTCTAGTCTACAAAAGTATAGTCTTCAAAATCCACAAAGCAAGCTGCCAAGTTGACCCAATGGCCTTCTTCACAATAAACAGTCAGACAAGGACCAAGGGTACAAGTGGACATAGTATATAGAACTTCCACAGAACAGGAGACTTCTTTATGCAAAGCAGGGTTTCCCACCATTTTATACAGTACTGGTGGACTACCTGGCCGAAAGTTGGTGCAATCTAGCCAAACAAATGTGCATGAATCCATATTGAAATTTCTAGTCACTTTGCAAGCTAGTTCAGCAATCTAGTTACCACCCGGCCTTAGCTTTTTTCTGCTGGAAGTCCTGCAAGAGGTTGTGGGAGTGCAGAACAAGTTATTGAGCTATCATTTCAAAACTGTTACCTTGGATTCTTTTAAGAAATGGCTGAAGGAGACCTATCATATCATACCTACCAAATAAGCCAGCTGCATCAAAAGTCATTCCTCCCTTGTAACTGTTCTTAAATGAAGAGACATTCCCATGTGTCAAGACCCATTCATCTTCTGAGATGCTGTGAGATCCTTATGTTTGACCGGGAGAGTTTGCTTGTTTTGGTTCAGGTTTCCAGTCAAGTTGCTGACTTTGACAGTTTGCGTCACCTGCAATCCCAGACACAGCTGGCAAGGCCTTTAACATTATGTACAGACCAGTTACAAGTGACAACTTACAGGTATCCTGTGTTCTGAAGTGATTGGTGTAAATTATAACTTAATATGGTTACCATTACCATCCCCATGCTGCCTTGCTCTCTATGTGCAGTAACAGTCTCTCCCCCGTTTCAGAGATGACCATGGTTTCAGTCCTCTGCACTGGGCCTGCCGGGAGGGCCGTTCCAATGTGGTGGACATGCTGATCATGCGAGGGGCGCGGATCAACGTCATGAACCGAGGCGATGACACACCTCTACACCTGGCAGCTAGCCATGGTCATCGTGACATTGTTGGCAAGGTAAATAACATCAAATTATTGTTTATGCAATGCTGCTAAAAAGAGTGGAAGATCCAAGATAGACTTTCATACTGGTGGGTTACACTTGTACCATTCCAGATTGACATGTATTACAATTGGCGACATTCAGTTGCCAGTGTGTCATCAGTACTATACAGGCATTAAAGAAACAAGTGAAGGCTTATTCCATTCTGAAAACAGAAGAAAGGAACCACAATGTTTCGGCTGTGGAGCCTTCTTCGGGAGCTTTCTTCACACCCGAAGCAGCCTGCGCATGCTGATGCAGCTACCTACTTGAACTATAGAGGCATTACCTTGCAGTTTGTAGATCACGACTTCCTATAGTAAAAAGTGTAGTAGTCCTAGAAGATCTGAGTGCTCAGTGGTTAAACAACCATACAACTACAGACATTTCAGTGTAGTTCCCCTTTCAGTTCTTGGTTTGGAAAATCTCCTTAATTGTTTTCAGCAAAAAACAAGTGTCAAGCAAACCGTCTAATTAGGCTGCTGGGAACTGAGGTGCAACCTCTAGTGTCAGTACTGACATCTGTTTTATGGGAAGATAGAATTGCAGGCAGAATATACAGCATGTGTATTAAACAGCAGAATTCAGCTGCAGTAGTTATAACATTTGTATGCTATTAGGCTACACAACAGCACAGTTTGTTTACAGTTAGTACTAGTTATAATATTAAGTTAATCATCCAGTGCTAGAAAGGTTCTTATTCCTGGTGTTATAGCACACCTTGGAAAGTGCATTAGTCCAACACAGCACATGGGCAGGAGCGATTTAGAGTCACCAATCAAAACGCAGCCAGCATATGTGGAGCAAACTCAACATAGAAGGGACTCCAGTCCAGAACTGACCCAAGGACCCAAGAGCAGCGAGATAGCACTAAATACCCACCATTATTTAATTAATACAACAACATATCAAAAAGTGAATGAGCAGTAAAATATCCATAGTGTATAGAGGGTGGGTGAAGTGAGTTAATGCAGCATCAATGTGGAAGTGACTATATATGAGGTATGGTGGCTGTGTGAGTGACAGCTCTTTTTCTGTTCCAGCTAATCCAATGCAAGGCTGACACCAATGCTGCCAATGAGCATGGCAACACTCCTCTGCATTACGCCTGCTTCTGGGGTCAGGACCTTGTTGCTGAGGTCAGTCCACCCTCCACATGCTAATCTCCACTTCTGTCCTATGTTTTATGTGGACTGGGGCTGTGTTGCTTTGACAAGAGAAGCAGTTTGCATGTTTTATACCCAAAGTTGCCGTTATACTTTTTGATGAATAATGTAATCAATGATGATTAAATGCAACCTGTTTTTTTTTCTAGAAATATGCAGCAGGCATAATGCAAACAATGGTAGTTTAGCACTTTTTTTTTTTGCATTAGAAAGGCAGCCTTAAGAATTGTATTGGGAATGTCCAGCAGGATTGACACGGAGTGCAACAATTACAGACTGCAGCAACCCTTACAACTCCCCTCTCTTAACCCTGTGTTTTAGCAAGAGGGTTGTGTTTATACTGTCAAGTAGAAATAAATGTTTTATCCTTAATTTTGCTTCTTCAACAAAAGCCATCATGTTTGTGTTAAAGATAGAATAAAGAACCTATAATCCAAAATCCCTCCTTATCTAGTGACATATACAGATGCAGCCATTCAAAACAAGCAGGCGATACCGCATTATTTTGCGGTGCGCTTGACGCAGCCTACCGCGAGTTACCGTAAATTCTCGTATAGTACCTAATAATACCACGTGGTACCACAAGTAAAAT